TGAACTTCGGCTGTACAGCTGGGGTGCCATCATCGCACGGATGGACTGGAAGTGACAACAAGAGCATAACAAAAAAGTACAAGGCGGGTATTAAGACCGTCTATTGTTGGGGTAAGGGATTCCAAGTGCCTCAAATAGCGGGAAGTTATCCAATCAGATTGCAGAGAGGATTAGAGGGAATTTACTTGTAAACAAGTCACGACTGAGAGGGACAAGACATTGTGAAACGATGGAGCTATTGAACTGTACTTATATATATGTCGAAGTTTACGGGAAATGAATATCCTATCATGAAATGTGCGTTTGATTTGTAAATCTGTTTTCGTACGCACTTGCCATGAGATATGCTTATGGATTGAGTTACACTGTTGGGTACTCCAGTAACATGCCTTCTTTCCTTCTGCAGACGTTTGCTGATCGTATTTACGGCCATTTTGCATGGATCATCCCTGTCTTTGTTTCATTGTCCTGTTTCGGAGGCGTTAATGGACTTTTGTTTACATCCGGTCGGTATGTCATTCTACTGTAATTAAACAAATATGAAGTGTATAGATTTTTCTACATGTGTTAAAAGTGCTGAATTAATCGATCTATTTCTAGGGCTGACGAGTTAGGGAAATTGCAAAAGATAACGTTGTTGAGCGAAAGAAGAATCGTGTTGAGCATACAAGCTGAAAATTAACTGTCGGTAATGCAAAATTGTTTCAATTATTTTGTGTGTGCATGCAGTATGCATTCGAATTCACGTAACGCTAATAACAGCCTTGAGTGAGTAACATGCATCTGACGAATGCAAAGCGCATCCGGGGTCTAATCAGACCAGGAGAAAGATACTTCAACAATAATTGTAGTGCCTGTGCGTTCTCTAAGATGTGATTGTTATCGTCAACGTAAAGAACTCTGTTTTAAAACATGAGCTATAGACATTCATTTTTGAAATCAGGAAACTCTCGTTCACTCAGTGAAGTTGAACAGAAGCAGTGAAAACTGGCATCCTTGTCGTACCTCACTAAAAATGGTAATATGAGGGGTAGCTTTCCACAGTCCGTAACTCGTTCTGAGGTCTGTCTCTGCGGAGTTTATGTTGAATAGTCTATAGTTCTTTAATGCACCGTGTGTGAGTACAAATTTGCACAGATCAATCCTGTCCTGGTGCTCGAAGGTTGCTCTGATACCATGGAAAACAACGATTATTCATCTTCGGTAAGTGTAACGCTGTTTGAGTATCCGACAAAAATCTACACAACTTCTGCCGGAACAGAATCCACCTTTCGATTCCCGTGCCTAAATATAATGTTTCCCAGTCGGTCTTTATAAGCACTTTGAAAGTGGATAGCTTCACTAGTTCTGATGCGGTCACTAAATCTGATACTTATATTCAATTTATGTTACATCGCTTCAATAAATTTGGAAGTTACTGTAAACGCGAACTCACTGGACCGCTTCTGGGATTTCTTACGCTTCTTATCTACTTAGCAGAGAGGCATGTAATAGATCATCGATAAATCTATACTATGCAAAATAAGGAAATTTCAAATGTTATCTTTTACTCACATTCTGTGCTCAAGCGGTATAGATCGGAAGCGAATGTTCTTACAATTTCTGTGTTCAACTCGCTCAAGGTCTGCCTTAACTTCTCAAGCGTTTGATGCTTCCTGTTGTTCTTTGATTGATCAAAATCTTTTAACGTACAAAATGATTCTATATTTAATATATATGAAGCAAGTATTTCACTGAAGTACTTTTCGTAGAATTGTCTGACGGTAGAACACTACTGTCCCGGCGCGACAAGAGAATCTCAGAAGTCGGTTCAGTCACTCTCCATCTCAGAGCCTATGACGAGAAGTGGGACAGGGAATTGAGCTCAGAAGGTACAAAAGAAAACGGTTATTATCACGGAACTTATCAGTGGTTTCTAACTTATACCTGGAGACCGATAAATCTAATAAGAATTTCAGCTCACAAATGCCTTTAATTTTAAGATACTGTGCCGTCTGCGTCCATTGCTTCAAGCCCGTTTGAAGGTCCTTGTGTTAAAATGGTAATATATTTCATCAGATCTCCTCGATCGCTGACATAAAACAAAATAGGTAGTTTACCATGAATATCAAAGAATCTTTGTAGTTTTGTAGTAACAATTTCTTTAAGCATTTTTCTCTTCCTTTTTAGTGTACCTCGAGAACAGATGTTTTTGCTCGTTGAAACGGAGATCTACAAGCTAGAGAACCGTAAATACTGACTGCTCCTTATCGCTTTTTGTTAAGAATACTTGTAGTTTAGTTCATAAACGTCTCGTAATTCTAATATCTCAAATTACATGAAAATCATTGTTTTCCTCTTACAAAACACGGGAAGATGTGGATCGATAGATCTGAAAAGTCTCAAAATCGATTTGATTCGTGAGGTGTTCTGAATAGAAATACATCATCCTATTTTGTGCGTTCAAAGTTTATTGTTGTCATCCTATCGCTTGTCCTAGAGTTATCATCTTGTTTATACTCCAAGAAGCCCTTGTCTGTCTTCGCACATCCATTCACTAGGATTTACCAAACCAATGTGCTACATATGTCCCTGCGTGTTCTACGTCGGCGATTGCCGAGATTACACTGAATGCAAAAATCTGGCGACATTTCTTCTTTTCACTTTGTTGTTCAAAAACGAAAACAGGTGAACTTGTTAAACTTCTTGAATTAAATAAAGTATCGGGTTACTGCTAACTCGGAACAAGGTACAGTTATATTCTCGCAACACTCAACACGAATAGGTATTAATCGTGAGTTGATTAATACCACTGTTTTCAACCGGGATTCAGTACAGCCTAACGTGTATTCGACCTCTAGTAGAACGAAAACATGTTAACACAAGCCCAGCAATGACCTGGCTGACGGCGGGTTGATCACAAAGCATTGCGTTTAGTTCTCACTCACTAACCCTCACTCACTCACTCACTCACTCACTCACTCACTCACTCACTCACTCACTCACTCACTCACTCACTCACNGGTGCGCGTGTGATGTACAGCTCAGATGCGCGATGAAATATGCTCGAATATAATTACGACTGCCCCAAGCGTTATTACACGATTGGCAAGAAAAACCTGGATAATAGTATCATTTCCGCAGTGTGGACCGATTTCAGTAATGTGCATGTGTGACTAAACTCTAGTGTGTATGGTTAACATTGAACGGTGATCGGTCGGTAGAATGACCAAATTAGCCAATGGGAATCAAAGCTTTGCTAACGCTTGTTTGCCCAGCGGTCGATGACACCACGCTCACAAATATTTGATCCATTATGCCAGGATATTGCTAAACAAAAAGTTGCGTTTTTTCGGTCATTTGTGGTTTTGAAATTTATCTTTTTTGAGGAAAAAGTTTACTATCAAGGATACTTTACTTGGATACATTAACTGCCAGTATGACTTGAAACAAGTCGGAAACTGCTTTTCTTAGATGATAGTGTACTGTTAGAACTATGTACAGATTGATGACATTTTCATGTTTTTCTAGCGGTAGGGAAGCTGGATCATGCAGCTGTAATTAGTTCTCACGGCGGGNAACATGAATAGTCGTTTAAAATTTAGCATGAGAAATCCATCAAAGTTCAACTGGATCCAAATATAAAATAGGATTGAAAAATCATTGAGGGTTGCTACACGGGTTGTTTACTCAGATTAATCCATATGGCTGGAGAATAGTCATGAGATCGGATCAACTCATGAATAACGGAAGTTCGTGAAAGTAGACGGGTTTTCGTCCATCAGTTACACCATCGACCGTGGTGGAATAGTCATTCTTTGCAACTCGAACCTAAAACGTATTTGAAGCAAATTAATTCCAAGGGTTATATTACTTCGAATGCTGGAGAGTAAGCACAAAATTACTATTAATATAAATAAATATGCTAAATGCTTGGGATATTTAGGTTGTTCTTACCTACGTACGATAAGTTGAAATGCTTTGAGCAGCCTTTTTAATTGAATGTACATGGCTTTTACTCGGATGTTTCTCATGTACCAGTATATTAACACTGTTGAAATCTCAAACGTTCGACATCGCGAAATGGGTTCAATCCGAATCTGAGGAAGCAGTGTTGCGTTCAACGTTTGAACAACGTGGGACAGAATGGTGGCTCATGTGAACACCACTTCTTTGCACTGGGATGACAAACGTTTTCGGTCGAGTGCTTCTTTGAAGTACCAGGTCAAGTGAAACTTTTGAAAAAAAGTCTTGAATAAAAGGTTCAAATGATCAGCTTTGTAGAACGTGATTGAACCAATATCAGTTTGATATAGCGAATGTTTGAACAGCATTATATTAGCCCGTATTCTCAGATTATATCCGCACGATGCAACTCTAACTAATTCACACAAGGAAATCCCTTGAACGATGGTGTATTTTCCATTGTTCATTGGTCCTACTTTAGTTGAAGCACCTAAATTATAGCCAGTTAAAGCTGTGCATCGATGACCAACAATTCAGAAAAAATGGCGTACAGTAAAGAAACGAAGATATTCATTATTTCCCCAGGTTGACTGTTACATATATATATGTATGTATATAAATGTATATATATATATTTCAGAAAACGAAACACGAAGCCGAAACCTCATACGAGGACTCCAGTTACGTCCGGGTTTTGGATGAAGGCTTCATCGCCTTGCGAATCAGGCTGTTGAGTTAATGGTTAGTTCTAGGATTCCCAGCTGAAAATAAGGTCTTTCGTTCTTACTTGAGGAAAATAAGATAACTTATGACTCGTTTACTATGTTTCAAAGAAAATTGTGATCAAGACCCTTTTGCTTTGCAAGCAACCCTGTTTACTTCATCTTATCTTTACGCATGTGGTTTCAATTTTTTCCTATTCCACGCCCTCTTGTAAAGGCTGAACTAAACTAACCCAATCTGGTTCTTGAATTGTTAGTGTACTAGATAGCTTTATTTGTTTGATACTCTCATGCAGTTAAAGATTTCTGTAATTTTCTGCATTCATTACCAGACTGAATTTTGTGGGTGCTCGCGAAGGGCACCTACCACCGATTCTGGCCATGATTCACCTTCGACGAATGACTCCGGTTCCTGCTATTCTTCTCACCTCGATACTGAGTTTGGTCATGCTTTTTTTGCCTGATCTAACAACACTGATCAACTATCTGTCGTTTGTACAATGGCTATCAGTTGGTGCAAGCATCCTCGGTGAGTGAATATCCGTCTTTAGTTTTGGAATGATCAAAACGCTGTGTTGTTTCCAGCGTTGACTTCATACCTGCAAGGAAGAAAGTTTTTCAACGAACTGCATGAATAGACATAGAATAACTTATGCTCTGTGTTGCCCCAAAATACTTGATAGTGCTAATTAATGCCAAAAAAAGCATTATGAAAATAGTGTATAATATGTGCGCATATCCGCTGACTTATAACTAAAAATCAATCGCTTATTCATCAGAGATCAGCCTAGTTACATTCAACGAATCGGACTTGACTTCAACAGCGAGTCCAAACTTATCAACGTTGAACACTGGTTAGGGACTACTGAATGAGAGTTACTGTTTTAAAATACTAGTGTTCTGGGTTCCGTCAACCGCATAAGGGTCTCATATTGTTGCAGTTTGGCGTGATACACAAAAGCATTATCTATTTGACTTGAAATTTAAAAATCCAGAACTTTGAACAAAGAATTTGGCTGCCTATTCAAAACAGAACGCAATGCGGTGGAACGGACACCATTTCGTTTCTTATTAAAGCCTAGTAACAAAAGTAAACAGACAGTTTCGTTGGAGAAACCGGATACTATTCGAATTGACACAGTGCAGTGTTACATTTCATTCAGATTTAGACAAATGTTGAACTTTTAATGGAGTAATTTTCTCGCAAGATCGAAAGTAACGGTTTCAACATGAATCAAAGTGTTCGAGTCGACTTCATGGAGTTCTGAGTTTTTTGCGAGTTGAGCTCCTGATCAACATAGGGATTACTAAGCTAGAAACAAACAACACTTTTCCACTGAAATGATGGAGCAGAGTACGAGAAAATAAAAATTCCATCCGTCTATAACTTTCGTATCTTCTAAGTTGTTTGGTGGATACGTGTTAACTGGTGCTGGCATAAGCTATCACCAATGTAACGGATTAACGTATCTTCGACCGTTCGCATTGGATATACCCAACGAGCTGTGAGAATTCCGGTTTTTGTCCAAAAATTCATCAACAGTTTCCCTATCGATCGATTTTTTGTCTGTGTGATTCACCATCCAAAACTCAGACCGACTACTCCCGCATCCATTAGGTCGTTTTGTTTCTGCATTAGCTGATTCTGTTTAATTGTCCCATGTGCATGTATTGTCTAAATGATCCCTTGAGTTTGTTCTCTTGCCACTGCGGTTGGCATCGATTGCTTAAATTAGGGCGTTATACATGTTTGGTAATCCGTATATCATTGAATAAGGATTTCTATTGTCAGAATCAATTGAACAATTCTGAAATTCTAAAATTGAGGTTCATCGAGTAAACAGTTTCGGTGAAATCAAATTGCTACGCAGTGTAAAATCAGTAAAACCAGTGGTGGTTAATTGTTTGGTCCGCTTATTTGCTTTCAAGGTCAACATACTAGGGATGTTGATTTAGTCAAAACAGTTGCTAACATACGCTACTGGTTTCACTAGGGAAAAATATAAAGTTCATAGGAAAAGATTTCAATGTTTCTGAAGTCCACATTTTAGTTCAAGTTATTCAAAAAGCGTCTTTGTCATACTGGAATAATGGGTAGATGAAAGCGCGGTTAATGTATTGAGTTTGATAGGAACACGTCAAACACGACAAGAAGCTCAATGGACCGGATGCTGATAGTACACCCGGTGCTGTAGGTGGCGTTTTCGAGAGTCATGTGTTTAGGAAAGGTATGATCCGTATGTTTTTTATTTATACTGAAACTGATTTCCATCCCCTTTTACCGAATGATCTGATACTAATTCGCCACGGGGAAGTAGGCATTTGGCATTTTATACTCTAACCAGGCGAACATTATGTAATGTGTAAAGTTCGCACTACGGAACATTGCCTGTCATCTGTCCTCGGTAATGAAATTGAACCTTGCTTAGTTATGATAAAATCCCTTTTTTGTTCAGTTTTTACGAAATGACTTTGAGGGATTTTCGTTTATAACAACACACTACTGGTCAGTAAGTATTCGTACCTGAATGGTGTAGATATGCTGCTTATCAGAAAATAAAATAATGGTAAATTTTATCCAATCCTATTTAGATATGACTATGTGAAGACACACTCTATGATTCACACATCTTAACGATCATCTGACCGTGGCTCTTGTTCATCGCATTATGGGCGCAATTCCTGACATCTGACACATTGTGCGTACAAACTTGCGGTGTATTGCATCAAAATATCCTGCAGGTGTTCACCGTTGGTCGCTTCATTAAGCTCTTCCCAAACATTGCCTTAGATGTTCCATAAGTTTTTCTAAAAAGCAGTATCATCTAAAACGTACCTTTGTCGCGATGTAAACGTTTTAAGAAGATACGCGGTAGTTCACTGCATGTGTTCTGAAACACTAGGAAATGATGCCCTTGTGTTGAGCCTGTTCAAACTGACCATAATCCTGAAACAAAATTAAGCACGTTTGACTGTCATATTTTGATCAAATCTTGTTCTCAGAGGAACTTTGCCTTTCAGTTTCCAGTCGGTGATATTTGGGTCATCCAAGTTATATCAGTCTCTTCTGTGAGGACATTTTGCTGGCGGTGACAGTTTGAATCTGTTTTAGCATACTGCTTCGGGGCATATTTGGGGAACGCGCTCGAGTTGTTGGAAGCCCTGATCAACATTGAAAAACGGAATCAACAATTGCGCGTGCATGTGTAGAACAAGCAGGGATTGACGTTTCAACCAAAACATCATTCTCTTTGCTCAAACTTCATTATCTTTGTGCTTAACGTGTGAACGGTCAGATGTCTTTGGTGTATATTATTGCCGTCTGTCACGACCGATCTTTGAAATCAGTATCGAATTTCAGCTTCCCATAGTGTGATGCGCTTTAGATAATGGAGAATTTTTGAAAATAGTCTGCAACCTTAACTAATTTATCATTCGCATTTTTGATTTCATGAGCTTGCTTTTCGGAGAGAAAACAATCTTCCATTGGCTATTGAAGAATTCGGGTACCTGCTTTGTTTGTGCTTTTATCAACTCTAAGTTGTGTTATTTGGCCTCCACCCACGGGAATACGTTTCCATTAATGTGCAGTTCGTGACTACATATCCAGCCATAATGACCTGCTAATGAGGAGACGTTTGAAAGACCCAATCCCTAGATCATTAGCGATGGTCGTAATTCGCTGGCAGTATGTCATGTGGTGCTTACCTGTTACTAATCCTAGCATCTATCCCAGGTAGGCTTAAGGTAAGGTGTGGGTCTCATAGCGCCACCCATGCCAGTTTGAGCTATTAGACTTTTAATAGAGCTGCAACGTTGTCGGTTTTAACACAGACTAAATACCACTGCTGTGTTTCCAAGGTTTTTAAATTTCGGTACATTGCACTATCGAGTGATGATCACCTTCCTAATCAGTTAACCTCAGACTACTCAAACGAAGTAAGTCAAATTTTTAGAAGTGTAACAATACCAATCCATTTAAAATGGACCACTACGGGTAAATCGTTCATCAAAAGAACGGAGCTGTGCTTTAGTTTATATGAACTAACGTTCAAGTGGCAGCACCGGGGGTTCACGTTTGCTTTAATTGACTACCAACATCAGCAGTGACATCAACATGAAGTTACGGAGCTCTAAAGTGTGCTTATTTATAAGTGATATTCACGAATACAAGCTTATGACTATAAGGCCATTAGAGTGCAAATGCATAAGAACTTCTAAAACACAATAGTTCCGTTTCAAACACAAAAAATCATACCGCAGCAGCGGGTGATCGTAGTTGGTGGGATATTATGAAAACAATTGCGGTCACCAAACATTTTCCGTCCATTGTTCGGAGATGGCATCCCAAGGATAACGTGACTTTCATGACCAAGTGCGAACCCCACTGTTAGGATTTGTGTACGGCACCATACTGTTGGGGTAATGTGAAATTCTTCAGCACTAAATCCAAAGCGATTCCATTTCCAGTAATCAAAAGTGAAGCTATTATTTAGTGCCACAACGCCAGTCTACTCACGAACGGGTAAGCAAAGAGCTGAAGACCCATTTGATAGGATCTCACTGTTCTTAAAACATCAGGTCCAAAGGATGTTAGGAGTGTATCGAGAAATGGATCTGCCATGTGTTGCTTTATTATGAATGGTATACTATTATTAACACAGCGATGTCGGTAGAGAATTACATTCGCCGACGCTTCGGTTACCGTGGCTAACCTTTCTCAAAGCAGGTTTTACAATCAAATGACTCAGAGGAAGTAATCATAAGTCAACTAATACTTCATCGTGTGCGTGAGTGCATATGAGTGTCTTTCTCTGTGTGTGGTGGGCTGAATGCTTCGTTGTCTGACATACTAACTCCCGTTATCAGATGGGATCAAGCGGCACCATGACCTTTATCGTGATGATGTGTTAGGCATGTCAGGGTAGTCCAAATGTTCGGGATCTCGATTTCGTCGTTTCTGTTGACGCATGCAGAGTGAGTGTTATTGGCCAAAGCCTCAGTGCATGTTGGAAAATCGGAGTTGGAGTATTTTCGGGTTGTCGGCGTGAAGAGCGATCGTTGAGTCTTGTTCTAATTTTGCCAGAGTTGCTTTGTCCGTAAGCTGATGTTTTTATTTTCTGTTATTTTCGGTTATCCTTGTCTTAAAGTCTAATGGTTTTCCCAATGTGTTCTGCGCAAATCATTTTGTAAATGCATTTGTTTTGCTATTGCAATTCGACCGGATCTTTGGCTTTCCTGATATGGTGTTTCACAGTGTTGTCAACCCGAAAGAATGTGTGTATGTTGAAATCATCGAGAATCTTTCTGATTGCTTCTGAAGTGCCTGATATATGTAGAATGCCAATAGGGGCTACACGGTCTTTTTTGTCATTAGGTTGTATCACTGGTTTGTTCGCTTCTAGCTAGCATCCTACCAGGAGTGGCGGATAATTATTGTCTTCCAGCACGTTTTGGAGTCGTTTTATTTCAATTTGGCGATTATTGTCTTCACTACAGAGCTTTTTGAATCCTAACCAGAGAGGAGATGAGAGTCCGTTTTACACATCGCGGATGAGCTGATTCAAGATGTAAAAGTTTATCCGAATGTGTCGGTTTTCTGTGAAGGTTGGTGGTGAATTTGCTTGAATTGTTCACCCTGAGGTGTCAGTCTAGAAAACTGTTGACTCTGTTCAAATTCTCTGACTTCATTGTGAAATTGATGGAGCTTCACTGTTTCGTTAGACAATCAAGAAACGCGTGTGTTGTAACTTAATGATGACCAACGTCTACGTATCTTACGTATCAACGTGGTGGTATATCAAAACCGGGGAGTGCTTTTGATTCGATTGAGTGCAAAAAGATAAAGTTCACGGTGTCACTTTACCCCATCTGATAATGGGAGTGAGTGTGACGGACAACGAATCATTCAACCCATCACACACGCACATACGATGAAATATCCGTTGACTTATGATTACTTCCTCTGAGTCATCTGATTGTAAAACCTGCTTTGAGAAAGGTTAGCCACGGTAACCGAAGCGTCGGCGAATGTAATTCTCTATCGACATCGCTGTGTTGATATCATAACATCATAACATTCACAATCTCACTGTTTTCTTCACAGGTCAAAAGCCGTTTACTACTAAGTTAGAGGAAAGGAAAAAAGATGATGATTTCGGATTCGTTAGTTCATGTTTTAGTAAAATATTCGTCGGAAGCGGGATTTAAAAGCTTTACAAGGCCAAATACATTCATTTGGGTGTAAGAATACTCGTACCGAGCGGGGCATTGGATATCAAATAACGCAACATGGTGGACTATCGATATAATTAATCGTTCAATGTTTTGTATTAGTGCCACAGTGTTGTCTTTCATGCTAATCCATAGGTTCCAGAATTCCGCTCACCCTTTGGTTGTTGTCATTTCCAATTCCTCCATTTTAGCCATGCTGTGGCTTCGGCGGGTTCGACCTGAAATGCACCGACCAGTCAGGCTGCCCGCTGTCGTACCGATTTCCTTTTTGCTAGTCTGTGCTTTTCTCCTCCTCGTTCCATTGATCGCCAAACCAAAAGAAATGGGCATCGGATTGGGCATTGTGCTCTCCGGTATTCCTGTCTATTTGGTCGGTGTAGCTTGGCGTAATAAACCTCAGTCATTTGTTCGACTATACCGTGAGTTTTGTGGAACTAGTTTCTACCTCTACACTCTGTACTCATGAAATAATATGTTTGATGGTTCGAGTGGTATTACAACTGTAGCGAAGCATCGAAGGATGAATCGGTTTGTTTAGCTGGCTACCACAATGCGATCATCCTTTGTGGCTGATCACATTGGTGGCTGTGTTACGCTTTCATGATACCTGAATTCCCAAGTAACTTTTTAAACCATTCAAACTGATCCGCTCCTTGTAAGACGTAAGTGAGCTCCGGTAAAATTTCAAGTTTTTGGAAGAATGACGGTTAGTTGAGTCTGAAACTACTGTAGAGAGTATCATTGAAGAATGGCTGAGATGCTTGAATGTCTATCCGTGTAACTCAGCGTTGATTATTTACATCAGGTGGATAATCTGTTCTCTGTAAAACCTTTGGGAAAATAAACTGAATCCCACGAAAAAAGACTGAATGCTGTGGTAGTTCCTGTACATTGCGGTCCTCACGTTGGTAATAAAACATTCCATATACCGCATACCTCGTTAAATACGTGAGAGTGCTTTTTGAAACAATCTAAGCGTGTCTCACAGATTGTAATGACTGACTTCTTTTGTGTTGAAACGGACATTTTTGTGGGCTGTTAGTGTTGGTTCAATAAATCGAACTGATTTATTCACGAATGCTAGTAATTACAATTTGTCAANGTAACATATAAATGGTGAACATTCGAGAAGGGTTAGGTGACCACTGGAAAGTTGCCAATCGGGACCACCACAGTTGCATGACAGCAATGGTGTTAGAGGGGAGAGGGACTGAACTGCGGGAGAGCAGTTATATATTCTATACCCAGTTGTTGCTCAATTATAACCCATTACCTATTGGGTTCACTTAGGCAGTTGTCTCCTTCATACGACAAATATTACAGAAGTCAATAAATCTTTTCATCGATACCGACTGTAACCATAAATACAGGTTTAAGAAGAAAAACATAAAAGGGACGAAATACACACACAAAAAACGATAACTTCTGGGTAGGGGATAGCAGCTTTCGTTGCGTGTTTACTACACTTAGTTTTGAATACTTTCGCTACAAGTGAAAATAAAACCACTTTTAGCTAACTAACAATGTGTGCGCTGGTGTTTGTCTATAGGAATCTAGATGCTTTTGTTGTACTTAATGGACAAATAAAATCTATTAATATTTTTAACAATTGGACTTATTCTTTGAGATCTTAAAATAACTTAAAAATTCCTATTTAACTCACGGTTACTTGTAAGTGGTCGTGTGGGATAACTAATATTGATTCAAACTGACTTCCTTCGAAATTCACCCTCGCACACATTAGCTTGTTGGCACACTGATACCATTCACGATTTCCATGCGATGCGTTCAGAGTTCATATCTCGGACGGGACGGTAAATATGCACTGCTGATGAACTGTCATAAAACAGAAACTTGATTCTAGTGCTTCTCGAGTGTATGGTTGACTGAATAAACTGAGGATTCCGTGTAATGGTGAACTCCGAAGGATAACCAACTTTAATCAAAGACTTAAAAGTTCTGATCACTTCAGTTCTTATACGGCCAACATTGTAAACATCCTCCTAATTAGTACGCTACTCGAGATTGATAGGTTTTGAATATACGACTGATGCTGTCCATTGCTCGTGACCTCAATGTTCGTTTCATTGAAATGTCTCGGAGGTAAAATTGTCAGGGTTAGTGAGAGGGCTTTCGTTTTCCGTAACCATCCGCGCTTGACTAAGGGTGACGGACTGTGAAATTTGTAAAGATTTTTTCATTCATTTTTCGATGACTCGTGTTTGGAATTATTTCGCTTTCATCACAACTGCCACAAGACAATACGCAATGGGTGTGACCTCCCTTTGATCAGAAATGGCGAAGCTGTTTTCACTAATCAATTTATTTTTCTATGTGTCGTCCATACCGCGCTAGGTATTCATGATAAAAGTAAACTCTTAAAGTCATAAGAATATTTGGGCCCGTTTGAACATTTTTAGACTGCAAAGTTGGCTGATTTGATAGAAATACGCGTTTCACAATCGATCTGACAAATGTAATGGCGGAGAAATAGTGTTTATTTACGATGAATTTTGGTCAAAAGCAAAAAAGTGCTCTCATTAGATACGGTTTAACTGAGGGATAAAGACCTCGGTTCTCAAACCGAAAATTAGAAGTTTAACTTTGGTATAATATCGTAAAACTCGCTGGTGATATGTTCCGCAATATATGGCTTAGCTACCCTATGTTCATTGCGGTCTCTTAGGCACAATATTTTTTATTTATTTATATTTTATTTATTTACAGTTATCTACTTTTTAGTTTTATTTATTATTCTACAATCTTTAGTCAGTAGGCTATTTTCATCGGGCTCCAACTGTTTCCATTACTTCCACTCCATTTGCAGAATCTTTCACAAGGACCTGTCAACGTCTGATGTATGTGGTCGCCTCGGACTGATTTTCCTATGCGACCCCAGGATAGCCAATCCATTCTGTCGGGTTCGGAATTCATGCAACTTCAACTTACTGCAAAATCATCCCCTGTTCATTTGCCGGCATTATTCCCTACCATTATCCTCTCTAATTGAATTCCAGAAATCTTGTTACATTGAATTGTCCAAGACCCCTGTAACTCAGTTTCACACTTCTCAAGCTTTTGCAGCTTTTGTATTACTGGTTTGTTTCAAAGGCTCCAATAATATGTTTTATAGAGGTGTCACGATCAATTTATTGTCTATGATATGTTCGTTCATCAAAACCTTGAAATTACGTTTTCTCTTTCTATATTTTCCATTTAAAACGGAGTATCAACTCAGAAAAATGGAAACGTTTTCGCTAGTTTTCCCATAATTTTAAATTTTAATGTGAAAATAGAAGTAGAACTAGATGAATACAAGTTTAAGATTATATTTTAATATATTCTGCTCTCTAGCTCGAACTTTGGGTAGCAAAATGGTGTAGGATTGAATGATGATAGTTTTTCTGCACAAAACAGCAGAAAAAGTGGGAATATATGAGAACTCTCCAAACTAACCTAGATTTTTGTTCATTCCTCGAGAGGGAATTTATTTAGTATTTATGCTGCTAGGTTTGGATCTCGTACATTTTAATCTCTTCTGCTTATAACCTCTATAATAGCGGTTGGACAACCGGTAGAGACAAAACAAATGCTCATGATTTTGGAGAGTTGCATCAAGGATGTAGCAGCTCAGTGCTCCAGCTCAGCCACTGCACAAAATCTAATTATAAATGAACATTGTTTTTACTGGTCAATATCTTAGAATTTTGTTATCCAGTTGCCCTGCTGGCCTGTGCCAAAAAGCGTTAGGGAACCAGTCGGTTGTGCGAATGATGTGCCAGAATGAATAATTCAAACTCAAAGAAGTTTGGAAAACAGTTGAAGACTTTTGTTCAATGTGTCGTATTTGGTTTACTTTAATGTTTTCGATTAATAAGGACCGATGTTTTGGGCATGACGTAACAAAAGGGTTCTTTTGACAATTATTGAAACCGAAGTTAAATGACCACTGAGTGATAATCTACTTACACTGACAATTTGAAAAAGACAAAGATCCAACTTACTACTCAGTTCATTTACTGCTGTTACCTAGACGCACATGAATCCTGTTCACAATCTGTCTGATCGGAATGTACATGAAAAAAGTTTTGCTCGTTGTCAGTCGTCCATATATATATATATATATATATATAT